CCCCTGGACCATAATGGGCTCGGCGCCCGGTTCCTTCACCTGAAAGGAATAGGGTGGGGGGATATTTCCCCCATCGGTTCGACAACGGCGTAGCGCTTTTTTAGGTAATTTCCTAGGGGCGAGCGGCGCTGCTTTGCTGCAGCGTGATCGGATGTGTGGCGTGCACGTGGCATCGTGAACGGGGGACGTAATCTTGTTCCGCGATTAATGAGGAAAAGGTGGACACACGGGCGGTAAAATCGGATCAGGATTAACCGCGCCAGATCTGAGGGAAACTTCCCCGATTTCGTCGCCCATCCGTTTTGCCTTTACCCTACATAAATACGCAATGAGCCTCGCTCCTCCCCTCCTTACCTTGCCCGCATTAGTTTTGCCGTCTTTGAGCCGTCGCCAGAGCAGAGAGCCCCAGGAGGAAGAAAGGAAAGAGGTGAGGTAGAGAGAGAGAGAGAGAGAGAGACTCACCGTCGTAGTCGAGCCCTCCACCGCACTCATGGCCGGCGACATTGTTGTCATCGAGGCGGACCCTTGGGATCCATCCGACGTCACCGTGGAGATGCTTCAGTCGCTCGTCGATGGTGGGCTCCTTCGTCCGTTGACTGACCCCAACAGACCGGAGTGGATCGCTCCGTTGGGCGAGCTAGAGCCGAGGCCTCGCGACGGTTACGTCGTGAGCTTCGTGTCCTTTCACGAGCGCGGCCTCGGCGTTCCTACGGACCGATTCATGTGGGCGCTCCCGCACTACTATGGCGTGGAGCTCCACAACTTCAACCCCAATTCTATCGCGTAGGTGGCTATCTTCGTCGCTGTCTGTGAGGGGTATCTGGGGATTGCTCCCCACTGGGAGTTGTGGCTCCATCTCTTCCAGGCGGGGCATACCACCAAGCCGGCGGGCACATCGGGCACGAGGAAGGCGGTGAGGGCTGGCGGCTGCACTCTCCAAGTGCGCCAGGATCGTCAGCACCTCTACATCCCGACCCAGCTCGCGTCATCCAACCGTCGATGGTACACGAGCTGGTTCTACCTTCGCAATGACGACGGCGGACTTCCCCCTACACTGGGCGGATTGTGGGGAGCAGCCCGGAGCGGTGGAAGTATGACGTCCCGAGGGAGGATCAGCCCAAGCTGCAGCCGCTCCTAGAGGGGCTACAGAGGCTGCGGGACCACCACCTTACTGCGGCTGTGGTCGTGGCCGCCTTCCACAGCCGGAGGGTGCTGCCGCTGATGGCTCGGCGGCGGCGCCTATTCGAGATGAGGCTGGACGATTCGATCACGGGCATCCGGCTGTCTGCCTCCGCCCTCTCTGACGAGGAAATTCTTCGCCGGGTGAGGGAGGCGGTGGACGCGAAGCTACGGAGCGGTGGTTTGACCACCCTCGCGATGCGTCCGTCGTGGGGGTACCTCTCGCTGGTAAGTCGCGCGCTGCTGCAGCCCCCGAGCTCTTTCCGTTTCTCATTATTTCTCGTTCCCTTATGCGCGTTTGTCGTTCCTGCAGGAGATGAGGGACATGTGAGCCTCCCCACCGCCTGTTCCCAAGGACGCGAGGTGGCGGACGATCAACCAGGCGCACGCCGAGGCGTAGAAAAAACAGAAGGACGCCAAGGCGGCCAAGCGCACGAAGCAGATTCTTGCGCGCAAGAAGCTCGATGAGCGTCGTTGACAGCAACGGAGGGACGGCCTTCCGCTGGAGGAGTCCCCGTCGCCGTCACTATCGACGAACGCCTTAGATGGAGATGATGAGGGCGAGAGGGGGTGGGATCCCCTAGACCATCTTCCTGATGTTGAGGAGACGGCGCCTGGGGCGTTGGCAAGTAGCTCGGCGCTCCCAGGAGGAGGAGGAGGAGCCGCCTCGGGGTCGGCGATTGCCCGCCTCGGGGCTAAGGCCGACACGCCCGAGGAGCGGGCATTGGGCAAGCGTACCGTCAGCCCGGTGGGCTCGACGGCAGCGGTGGTGCCAGTGGCGGCGGAGCTGACGCAACTGCTCCCGCAGAGCATCGAGGGGGCGCCGGGGTCCGTCGAGGACCGGCCGGCGCCGACAGATACGGCGGTCGTGCTTCAGCCGCCGCCGCCGCCTTTGTAGACGAGGGTTGCCGTGCCAAAGCGGTTGCTGCCCCGGTCGAGGTAAGCGTACTTTAGGTGGCGCCGCAGCGTTTTTTGTTCGTTCCTTCGTCTCGTGCTGACCCTGTGAGTATTATGTTCTTAGTCGAAAGCGACCTGTGGAGGTGCCTTCTTTGGCGCCGCTTAAGGCGCTCAAGGTGACCCCTGACTCCACCGCCCATTGGGTGGTGGGGCACTAGCCGCCATACGACGCGGCGTGGCGTCGAGAGCCGACCTGACGGAGTCGGCCTCCTAAGGAGGGGCTGTCGTGGCTACCCTGACACCGACGGGGGAGGGGGCGCCTCCGCCCCACGAAGGCGAGGGCCGTGAGGCGAATGCGGCCAGGGTGTCTTCGGTTGCCAAGGCCACCGAGGTCGAGTCCCGCAGGGTCTCCGAGGCCGAGGCAACCGACGAGGCCACAGCAGCGGAGGTCCAAGCCCCCACGCCCATCGAGGCCACGATGGCGGGGGCCGGAGCCCATGGGACCACCGAGGCCCAGGAACTGGAGATGGAGGCGGCGGAAGCCTCGGTGGCACCCCTGGTTCAAGGCCCGCCGTTGCTGCCGGGGAGCGCCCAGGAGGTAGAGGCCCTTCCGATCTCCTCCGACGATTTTTCCTGGGCGCGGGAGATGGCCGACGGTGAGGTGGTCGATGCCGTGGAACAGCCGGTTCCGACCCTGGGCGAGGGAAGCTCGGCCCTCGCGTGGGTACAACCCGAGCCCCACGGGTGGGACCACCCGCGTGTGGTGTGGCAGAGCCGGGACGACCCTGAGGCGGAGCCTCTGTTTGCCCTCGAGGACGCGGCCGAGGGCGAGCGCTGGGACACGTTCGAGCAGTACCGCCGGCTGGCGGAGCGGTCACTTCGGACGGCGCTGTCCGTGGTGGCCGACGATCTGTCCGGAGTCGCCCAGGTTCGCACTTTCTTTTCCTTACGCAGTGGTCTTCTTCTGAGTTTTCTTTGTAGGGATTGACCCCTGTTCTGTTTCCCCCAGGAGCTCGAGACCCGGTCCCTCGGGAAGTCGGTCTTTCTCCGGGGGGAGAGGAACGTCTGGGACCAGCTTCAGCAGCAAAAGGGGCTTCTTGCCGGCGCCAACGAGCTCCTGTCGCCATGGAGCACAGAAGTGGAGGACCTCCGCCTTCGTTGTGCCGATGCGACGGTCGAGGCGGTTACGGCCCGGGAGCGGGTCGCCCCTTTGGAGGCGCGGGTCAAGGAGTTGGAGGAGGAGCTGATCCGCGTGGTCGGTGAGCGGGACGCCTCCAGGTCCCGGGCTGGAGAAGCCACGACCTTGAGCAAGGTCCTTGCTGGGCAGCTGGGGGCGGAGCAAAGTGCGCACCAGCTGACGAAAGGCACCTTGGATGAGGCCCTCATAGTGGCCGAGGCCTCCTGGATCGAGGCTGTGATCTGGAGGGGAAATGCCGAAGGTGAGTCTTGTTCCCTTTATTTAATTTGTTTTTCTTGTTGTCCGCCAGCCACTAGTGTCATTACAACATTTGCAATAGTTGATCTACTTTTGAAACATTCAGATAAAACATTTGTAACATATGTCTTGAAAAAGATGAAATACTTGAAACGTGCGTCTGAAGCACTTACAAAAACACCTGCAAACACACTTGAAAAGTCATTGCAAAACATATGCAACATCAAGAGAAAACACTTACAACATATGCATGAAACATATGCAACACCTAAATACACACTTGCAACGTACGTCTAAAAAACAGATAAAAGATTTGGAATAGACGCTTGCAACATATGTGTATAGCCATTGCAATATGTGCAACATCTCGATCTATTTTTATAACATTTATATGAAACACTTACAACGTACCGACATTAGCCTCCCCTCCCCTCTGTCACACATATGCGCAACACCTTTTGTGGGCCTCGGGCTAGCTTGGCCTCTGGTGATGGTGTACTTTTTGGGCTAGCTTGGCACGAACGAAGCCCACCTCAGCATAGTCCGGCAGCGTGTCATGCCCTGGCCCGTGCCGTGTCGGACAGGGCGGCCCGGATGCTCATCTATGACGTCACTTACATACTTCGCTCTACTTCGTATAGGTGTAAATCAATACATTGTATAGGTGAGGACGTCGCCTCATTTGCCATGTGCGACGCGCTGATGAGATCATTTTAATCGAGCTTTTCAACTGATAGTTTGTGTGGCTAATAAGCCAATTGAGGCTGTTTTGTTATGAAAAAAATGAGAGAAAAACAATGTATCATAGTTGATAAGTTCAAAGTGAATTGGGCAATGTCAACCACCATGCCAAAACTACGTAGTGCAGTGCGGACCTAGCATAGCTGAGCCATCTCCGATCCATGTACTAATGAGTACGAAAGGTTAGACAATCGGAACCAGCAAGTTATGATAATATACAAGTCCTGCCTTTTTTTATCTGGAATTTATTATATGCTTCCTCCATACTAAAAAATAAAGTCATTTTTGAACAAGGCTTGGATCAAAAATTGAGAATATAAATTATGAATAACTTTTCAGTTGTTGAGTTTAGAAATATGAAAATCATATGTATAGATTTATCTTGGAAAATACCTTCATAAAAATTTACATATATTATTTTTTGATAAATATCTTTATAAAAATAAATAGTCAAAATTATGCTTTGGAGACCATGTCGCTGTCCAAAACAACTTTATTTTTAATTACCGAGTCCAAAACAACTTTATTTTTAATTACCGAGTCCAAAACAACTTTATTTTAGTACACACTAGTAACCAGTTGAGATGTACACCATCTGATTCACCGTCTCCAACGCTGGGGCGACCAACAAGCACCTATGCCCGGCCCCTTATTAACCACTTCACACGACACCACAACATAATTTCCGACACGTGCATAACAAAACATAGACGACAACAGGACTGGGAAATGCGTGCTAACTAGCTAGCTAGTAGTCCTCCGGCGCGAGCGGCTGGTGATGCGTGCTGTGCGGCGCGGCGGCATCGGCGGACGGGATGACCAGGAACTCGTACACCAGCCCCGCGAGCCCGGCGCCGAGGAAGGGTCCCAGCCAGTACACCCAGTGGTGCCTCCACCGCCAGCCGACGAGCGCCGGGCCGAAGACCCGCGCCGGGTTCATCCCGGCGCCGTCGAATGGCCCGCCCGCCAGCACGTTGGCGCCAAGCAGGAACCCCACGGCGAGCGGCGCGACGGTGCCCACTTGGCCCCGCTTCGGGTCGATCACCGTGGCGTAGTAGGCGTACATGAGCCCGAACGTCATGACGGCCTCCAGCAGCACGGCGTGCCAGTCGCCGACCCCGGACGCCAGCGCAAACCCGGGCGGGCGCGCGCCGCCCGTGGCGAGACGGAGGAGGAGCGTGGCAGCCACGGCGCCCAGCAGCTGCGCCACCCAGTAGAAGGCCGCGCGGACCAGGGAGATGCGGCCGCCGATCAGCGCGCCGAAGGTGATGGCGGGGTTCACGTGCCCGCCCGAGATGTTGACGGCCACGGCGACCGCCGCGGCCAGTGCCAGCGCGTGCGCCAGCGCCACGGCCACCAGCCCGCTCGCCGTGCTCGTGTCCTGGTACATCTTCCCTGCACGCAAATGGCAAACCCTGTCTCATGCATCGTCGTCTCGGTCGTCAAACACTTCCTGGCATGCATACTACGTACCGAGCGAGAGGACGGACCCCTCGGCGGCGAAGACGAAGATGGCGGTGGCGATGAACTCGGAGATGGCGGCGCGGATGGTGGCCGGGTGCGTGGCGTCCTCGCTCCGCCCCACCGTGAACCGCCGCCCCGGCCGCACGCCCGTGCTCATGTCGTCGCCAAAATTAAAGCTCAAAAAACCCAAGCAAAGCCAGCTGCCGGCCTCTTCTTGCTAGTTTGCACTTACTTTGCAGTAGGCGCTAGGGGTGCGTACCTCTACTCTGGCTTCGTTTCGAACTGCCGCTGCGGCGGTAGCGTTGTTAAGAGACGAGTGTGCAGTCAGGAGGTGCGGCGACGGCCAGCGCGCGCGGCCGAGCCGCGCGCGGCGGCGCGCCACGTGTGGGCGCACCGGGCCAGCTGGGCGGCACGTCCCGTCCATGCGTACGCGCTGGTCTGTGCCTTGTGAGCTCTCGTGCTCATCTCTATCCGCGGGGTCGCGTTCGCGTTCCAGATCACGGCGAGGAGGTGTACGTTTTCCCTACGGATACATATGCATGCTCTCTATCCGTTGCCGACTGATGAGATATACTGTGGGTCTACTACTATGGCCCCGTTCGCTTCGCTGAACTGAAACACTGTTCCGACTAATTTGTTACAAGAGAAAAATATGGTTTCAATTAAAAAAATAAACTAAAAAGTACAGATTATAACACAAGCGAACAGAACCATGGGCTTAAAGCAGACAAAACTGTGTGAGCATGCGGCGGCCCATCTCAACTGGGACAAGACCGGCGTGCGTTAAATAATTCCTTGGCTAGGTATGACCCAATAAAACTTTTTTTTTTAATTTATAACCCAATCAAACTAATGTCATATAGGCTAGGTATGAGTCTCAATTAATGTCATATAATTAACTTACCATTTTGACAAGATATGTAATATACCGCTGATTGTGAAATCTTTTGATAAGCTGAACTTTGAGTTGTGGCGGCTATAGAGTATAATTTGCAACCAGGATCATGTGTTGTGTGCTCCCGTGCAGTTTACGGATGGCATCTCTGGGGATTTCTGGAGTTAATTTACTTAGGGTTTGTTTGGATCTCCTAAGAAAAATGAGAATGGGGGTAATGGGATCCAATCACTTGGATTTAGAATGAGAGTCTAGAACCCCAAGTATTTGGAGATTTTCGCTAGAATTTGGAGATTTTCGCTCTGCAAGGGCAATGATCACTATGAAAACAAGATCTGAACTTTCCTTATTTTTAATCTAGAATTCAAATTCTATATCCATTTTCTAGTCAAATTTTTCATTATGAGAATGGGATCTAAACAGAACATTAAAGTAAATTAGTCAAAAAGATGACACTCGATTTCGATCCCTACAACTTCGTTGGAAAAGAAAGTGTCCTATTTTTTATGAAAACAATAGAGAAAGAATCTTTCCCTAGGAAGGATATTTGAGCCCTAGGAAAACATGTTCAGCTGGCAAAGCTATCCTACTTATAGAATGTTTATTTCCCTAGAAATCTCGTTCCTATCATCATACGACAGTCTGCAAAATTTATTACTACTGCGTAATTTTATTTTGGTCCACATTTTACTTTTTCTATTATGACCAGGTAGTGTGTCCATGTGTTGCTACGGGATAACTAAACTTTTATACTAAAAATGTAGAGATCGCACGATAAGATAACAATACTGTGAAATTAAATACCAACGTTGAAGTGATTTTTAAGTCACGGAGAGCGTGGCGTCGCAGGTTCACCAACCCTACTATATAGATCTTTCCAAATAATGCCCTAATAATTTAAGCATGAACATGTTGTATTGTTAAAAAACGATGCTGCGAGCGTGATGTTCAGAATGTCAATATTTCGAATTGAATTTTATGCATGACTAAAACTCTCACTGATGATTTGCAATCATCAAGGTATGCATTTATAGTATTGTTGGTATATTCCTAATAAGAGCAAATAGAAAGAATGGAAATTGAAAGAAGGAAGCCAACACCCAAGATTAGTTATATGGTCTCACTGATTAAAAGTACAATTAGCTTAAAAACTAACATAATATATTAGGCATGTTTGACATACTTGAAGAGTGATGTTTAATGAGTGATGTGTCCAAACATTTTTAATACAATCAGCTTGTTCGCTGGTTGGTTTCTGAGCTGATAAACTCGGCTAGTGCTGGTTTGTTGTGAGAGAAAAACACTGTTGGCTGGCTGATAAGCCCTGGCTGAAACAACAAACGAACAGGCTGAATAGATATTATTCTCTGTTAAATGAACTTAGCAGTTCTGTGCCAGTTAATATAGCTCCAAACAATCCAATGATAAGTTTTTGTGATTGGACGGCAAAGTATATTTTATAGAAATAATTAAAAGAAAAATTATCCATAGATCCTTATTCTTTGGTATTCAGTAGCTAATTAGACATATATTGCAAAGTAAGATGTGCTGACCTGACAATAACAAGCTGTCCTTCGACCAACTTATGCAAAGTCAAGTGCTCAAAGTAACACAAATTACAGCATTGCAACCTGAAAATGCAAAGAGCTTGAGCACCGAAGAATGTGCATGGAAGTTCTCTAAAAAGGGTACCTCTTTGATTTCTCTCTTTGCTTAGATGAACATGCTAATATTTTCCTAAATAGTAACATCATATCTGCAAAAATAGTATCTGTCAATGGCGTGACAAAGAGATCGGTCATTGATTTTTTCCAGAGAATAAAGGCCTACCAGTCAAAATCTTTGCAAAAATGCAACCACTGCTCCACATATAAAATTATAGCAAGCAGCGATACCCAGCTCAAATTGCATATATTATATTGTTTAAAACTAAAAATTGGATATATTAGAGAATAGAGAATGTATGAGCACAGCAAAACTCAGATTGCACAGTATACATTGTTTAAAACTAAAAACTGGATAAAAGATTTAAAACTGAAACTTGGAAATTCAGACTGCGAGATGACCAGGAGATAAACAACACAACACTAAAAAAATAATGACGGTACGAAGTTTAATGGACACAGATAAGAAAAACAGAGAATGTTCAATTCTGCACATTAACATTGTAACTGATTTTTTAACTCAACATTGTAACTGAATTGAAGCCACATACTTGATAATACTGCATTGCTTCATACGTATTCAGTTTTGAAACAAAATCAACATGTGCTATATTAAAAACTGACTTCAAGCCTATATGTTTCTATCCAAAACCAGTACAGATTGGGGTTGAAAATCTATAGCTTCTAGTTACGAAGGAAATCAAGAAAATTAGCACACAAGTGGACCAGCAGAACTTGAATCATATGTATACTTTGCTTGAATAGCCCTTAATAAATTTCACATGGTTACCAATAATAACTCAGTAGACTAAACATTTCATAATTCTAAACTTTCATGTTGGCAAAAAACAAGAAACCAAATAAAGTTCAGATTCAGTTATTTATCCACTCATGACTATTCCACAGCTCCGGTCAGCCTCTGGTTGGCCTGGAACAGAGATCACAACTTTCCATGCCTAGCTATGGGATGCAAGAACACTAACCCTGATGAAGACGTGTATGTTCCATGTCACAGAGAGACCCGTTAATGCTATTGACCTCTCTCCTACACATGATACAATATGTTTCTATTCACAAACTCATTTATACACGTCTTTTCTATCCACTTTCCCTTACCACATGGCAAATGTGAAAAGCATAAAGTGTATGTCAGCCTGTGTAATATTGACACATTGTCATGAGCTTTGTGTCCAATCTGTGATTCGTCAAGTAGCATGGGGTCTATTTAGATGTCCAGGTTGTCTGCACTTCTGAGCTAATTGTTTGTTTAGGTGAGTTCTCTTGGCCTTTTATCAGGATGCAATTGTGTGCCTAAGCATTTAGCCTAGACTTGCAAAGTTACAACTATGTCACCTTGATTAGTTTATTTCATATAAAAATATCTGAGAGCTGTAGTAGATTCTGCTAAAAAACATGTATAATCACCTAGGCTCTTCATCCTAATAGCTATAACTCAATAATCTATTCTCTTTATCTTTTTTCAGGATGCAACTGTGTCTATGCATTTAGTTAAGATTTGCTTTGGATAGCAGGTCCATCTCGAAATACTCTTGTTCCTTTTTGATAGAAGAGTATGTATGATGCTCCGATCGCTAAACTTATCGGTTGTAAATAACCTTTTAAATTGTCAAAGGCACTAGATAAGGAATAATAGTTTTTCCTTTTAGTATCCATGTACTTTCCTGTCATTTAAACACCAACATTAGGCTTCTGCTTCGTGATTGTTGAGGCCAACTATTGCAAAGAAATGACAGCGTATGGTCTTTCCTGTCAAGTTCGTTGCATGGTGGTTGTGCTATACTACTATTTCTTATACGTCAAGAGTACTTGGTGAAAGCATCCTTGGTGGACACAGCAATATTTTTAGTTGTATAATTTGTCAATTACTTATGCCTAATGTTTCATATCAGTAAGGCAATTTTGCTTGTGCAGAGTGTAAAAACTATAAGGCATGGCAATGTTATTGAAGGAGACAAGTAACAAAATAAATGGCAGCAGGAAGGGGTTGGCACGCCTGGTGGCAGCAGCGAGCGATGATGTAGGAGGCGTTGAAGAAGCTGGGGTCCACCACGACGGAGTCCTCGGAGCAGTTACAGATCGTGAGGGTGTGCAGGATGTGCGAGGCCTCCTCCGCCTGCTTCCTCTAGTTCTTGTTGCTTCCTCTTCCGCGAGCAGGACGTGCTTCCTCTAGTTTCGCTCGACATGCGGCGTTGCGGCCAACTGCGGGGCGTCGCGGCCAGAAAAAATAATCACAAACTCCTCTGTAACAGCTAAGATCAGAAATACCTGAGCAAAGCTTGAGGAACAACAACTTCTACACTCATCAGATGCTTTATTCAGTCCAAGCATGAGTCATATATTTGAAAAAGTCATAGGATGTTTCAATTGCACAGTATACAAAAATTTCACATTTCAGATAGAAATGCTGGCACTTTTTAAGGAGCGGTATTTGGATGAGCTTCTCATTCATTAAACAACACCTTTGACAAAGCAGTATGCTGCCACTTTGGTAGTCATATCACGAGCGTTGCAAGCTGGTTACGAGGTATATACAATATAGACGAAATCAGAAATCTGTAGCCTCGGTTTCCTATGGTT